TGGTGAGTCGGCTCTGCAATGTTTGAAATATAGCGGGGAATGTTCCTTACACAGATTGGTTCATCCTCCCAGGTACGCCACAGGCTTTGATATCACCGAACACTCTGTGCTCATCCATGAGTACTACAGCCGTGAAGCTTCCAACCCCATCCACCTGACCGTGGACAGCGCCCTGCAGAGCGGCAAAATGAACATCCGCGCCTACGTCAGGTGAGCCAACCTGTCCGTATGGGACCGGCTATGTCGGGGTGGCGTCTGTCTGATGACATTCTGGTTGTGTCTCCTTCAGTGCCCAGATGGGTGTGCCAGGAAAGACGGTCGGCGTTATGTTCACCCCACTGACTGTCAAGTACATCTACTATGACACTGAGAGGATAGGAGGTAAGGACGCACGGGAGGCACCTTTCCATCCACTTAGCATGGGAACGAATGTCAGGGTTTATAAAAATGTGTTTCTTTGTTTCCTAATTTAAAAAAAACTACAAAATGTTTTGAAACGTTACGGATCACTGTGCTGCTTGAACAACCAGATGTGTTCCAAGTTTTAGCGGTATCGAACGGTCATGCTAGGATTAATGAGGTGCGACACGAAATGAAACTCATTCATCAATTAGTGTCTCTGTGAAGCCATTTTACATCATTGATTGATAGGATTTAAAGTCTTACAGTCATATGAGAAAAAGTTGGTTCCACTCAAGGATTTTAAAGATTTCCAAACTTAAGGTTGGAACACCATTTCTGAAGCATGGTAGTGAAAGCATCATGCTGTGGCGAATAGGGACAGGCGGTAGGGACTTAAAATCTTACAATATTTTGTGGTACTATTCATGATAATGATCTTATTTACTTATTTTTTGGTTTTCTTGGGTAACTGTGATGCTGTAACTGCATGCCACCCCAATCAGAGCCCCACAATCACAGATAATGCTGTTGAGAAATAAATAGTAATAAAATAGGCTTTATTGGGACACCGGTTACATAAAGAAGTGTAATTTATATCAATAAACATCCCATAATAGCTGTATTTAATAGTTTTCCTTGAGTTTTTCCACCCATCATTTGGGGAAAAAAGCAAAATAAAAAGTTCAGACACTTCACTTATTTATGGTTAGTTTTAAACGTAATTCTAATTTAGAATTAAAATCAAAATTCTTACCAAAGCCTGCAGTTAATCACCATAAGATAAAAGTCTGAATTCTTAAATTTCACCTCCAATCAAGAGCTGAATATTTGAAAGTTGAACATGAGCGTCTCCAACGATCCCAAACAAACGTTAGCATCAGCTTCCTTTGATGCTAGAGGCCAATTTATGCTTCTGACGCATAGCCTCAGAAACCGGCAAATCTGTCTCAGTGCGACTACGCCCCCCCGCGCAGAGGTTCTGCAGCCGTCGTTGCGCACCTTCAAACAATCCTGACTACGCGCCAGACGGTCTCAAACCCGCACCGACCTCAAGCGGACATGCACAAACAAAAAGCAGCTGTGATTGGTCCTTGGTATGGCTTTTCAGCCATCTGTGTGGTCGTCTTTCTCGATTCGCTGTTCCTCGATTTTTAAAAACCGAGGATCAACTACAATGGACAACTCTCCATCAACAGAACCTGCTCCTCTTCAATGTCTAGCAACTCTGTGACCGTGATACCTTGCACACGAGCGATTGTTGTTTTGGAAGATAAACACTCCAGCCGGTGCTGCCGAAGTTCTCAAGAGTTCTCTAAAAAGGCTCCACCTTGCGCTTTGGCGGGAAACTGCTGTGCAGAAGCATACCAGCAAAAATGGTTCGCAGCCCAAGCGACATTCGATGTGTGTGGTTGCAGAAGTCTAATCTGCCCTTTAAGCTGGGCATACACTGTGCAATATTTTCAATCGTTGCACGCAGCTACAGCTCAAAGTGTACAATGAAACCACAGGGTTTAAACGTTCACAGCGCACAATGCATGTTCTCGCTCTGATGCGATCTTACGACGCGCAACTTTCAAACATATACGATTTTTCCCACCTGACCTCATGATTCCTGGCCGGGAGGTGGTCCTTATCCCCTGTATACTACACGCCACATGATCTGGCTGAAAGTCAGCCCTATCAAAAAATTCTCACAGGACTAGAGAATCGGCCCGAAAGGGGCAAAGAATCGTACAGTGTACGCCAGAGCATGTGAACGGAGCGGAGCGCTGTGCAATGTCCGCTCAAGAGGATTTTCGCTCATTCAGTTTGCCACTCAGAGTTGCGCCAGGAGGCACCGCGCAAAATCCACTCTGCACTCACCTTACTTTTCCTGCCTCTCCGGCAAAATCGCTCCACGCTCAAATTTTCAGGAGAAGGCATTTTCTGACATTTTTTCCTTAATGTAATGATGCCAGAGCCCTGGGACACACGGCGTTAATGATGGGACAGATACATGGGTATTGTCTTTAACTGGCTGTTAAGTTACTGCACTGTTTCCCAGCTGTGAACGTATCATCTCCCTCCATTCATGTTGCCCCGCGTTTTCTATTTAATTAGTAATTTATTTTACTAGACCACATTAAAAAGGTCACTTCACATCCAATTGCAAATGAGATAATAGCATATGATGCGCTATTATGTGTCGGGGTCAGTCGTATTATGCAATACATATTTTTTAAGGATTAAAAACTGATTGCCTGCAACTGTTTTTTCAAAAATGTGGAGAAAAATCACACTCAAATCAAATGTTATTTTACAAATTTTAGAATCCAACATTTTTTATTGAAGTTGTGATCGCATCGGAGTGAACTGGAGCGGAGCGAAATCCTCGCTCCGGCCTTTGAATTGAAAACCGCTCTGCGCTCCACCATATTTCTTCTGCTCCTCACATGCTCTAGTCTAGTGTACGCAAAGATATTAGCCGTTTCTAAATCTGTGTACTTGTGCGTTCTCATGTGCTCATGAAGCGTCCTCATCCTCAGCCCTAGTGCTGCTCCAGTTCATAAGAACAGCAGACCGAGAACAAAGTCCCCAGGTGTTGTTCTCACCCCTCCCTTTTTACTCAGCATGCATCAGAGCAGACTTGTCAGCTCTTGAGACTGACAGCTGTCCCAGCATGCACTGCAGCAGCAGCTTTCATTGGAGCGCTCCATTGAAAGTTCAAAGTTCTCTTTTCTGTTGCTGTTGTTCAATAAATTTCAATTTTTTTTTTTTTTACAAAATGTTCATTTGATTTGTGTTTATCTGACTGTTAATTATTATTCCCCCACCAAATAAAAACGGTAATGTATAATCTAGAGACCATTAATAACAGGTGAAATTAAGCTCTAGATGAGCCGTGCATGTGGTCAAGAGGACGATTCTGTTCAAACTGACCCATATTTATGCTTCATGCTCCTTTTCTCCCCTAGTCCAGACTTTCCTGTTTTTCTCAATAACTCACTTGGCGAGGACACAAGTCTGTACTTGCGTTCTAGTGAACTGAGAAATGGCCACTGACTGAACTCCATCTCTGCTTTGCAGTGGATCTCCTCCAGAGAACTCGTCTTACTCCCAGCCGTACCAAGGGGCTGACCTCCGACCTGTCCCAGGTGGGCTGCGCTGCGTCCAGGATACAGGATATGCTGACCACGGTGCTGGCGTACATTGAGGACGTGCTGGTGAGTGGTGGCGTTTGGCTCGTTCAAAGAAAGCCTGATAGGTTTAAACTCGGACCATAATCCAGGAACTCTGTTTCAGTCTGGAAAGGCGACGGCAGATAACAGCGTGGGTCGTTTTCTCATGGACCTGGTCAATAAAGTGCCAACCATCTCAGCAGAGGACTTTGAGAACATGCTTAATTCCAACATCAATGTAAGCTTCCTCTTTAAAAAATGTTTCAACTGATACATTAGATATCTTCAACAGGGTTATTAACAAGCTTACATGTGTTAGTTATTATTTCTCATCCATGTCAGTAACATCCTGCATGCTTGTTATATAAACAAGTGAATGTTTTCTGTTTGCAGGACCTGTTGATGGTGACCTACCTGTCTAACCTGACCCAAGCACAGATCGCTCTGAACGAGAAGCTGGTGCTCCTCTGAGGAGTCCTTTCAAGTCATATTTAAGTTTCTTTGTTTTTCTTATATTTTGGCTGAGATGAATAAAGTTGTTCAACAGTCGTGACTGATTTGATTTATTTTAAGGTGTTTTCTTCAACTACGCCTCAACAAATACTGCTGCCGTCTCAACGATCCCTGTTGAACTCAATAAAAAGTTTATTTCTAATGTGATCCAGCTTTTTATAATCCTTAGAGCTGTGTTATGGATTCAGATTAGATTATAATTTCATTCTCACACTTTGGTCTGGAACTATCAAGCTCTTTCAGATCTTTTGTTTTAAAAGAAAATAATTTTAGCATGGGGACTGCGGAATACCTACGCAGACTGAAAAAGTCTTAAAATTGTTTTTTTACGGTGTTAATTGTTGAAAAAGAAAGTTGAGCATGGAAACATTTACATTCTCAGATATTCTGTTAGTATTGTTCAAACTTCTGTCCACATATGCATGTCCGTCCTATTTGGTTCACTTTTTTCCATCATTTACTCATAATTATCCAGATATTGATATTTTCCATCTATTCATTTATGTTCTATATCAAATACAAACTGGCAATACCTAGAAATAAATTGGTGAATTTTTGGATTATCTATAAAGTTAGATGAAACTGGAAACTTGGGAAGAAAACATCTGGGAAAGAAACCTGCAGATTTTTTTGAATAAATCATCTAACAGAACAAGTATTATGGCTTAAATATTAAAACACTTTAAATATATAAATGAATAGAATCTTTAAAAATGTGTTCAAAAGTGGACTGGGTGCTGGATCTGCCACCTAATGGCCAAAGTAAAAAGTCCATTTACCAGCAATCTTTGATGGTGTTTAACTTAGTAAGAAGGTTTTATATTCTTGTGTTTATATTTTAATAAGTTTAGAGTGGAATTTATTATTTTATAAACTTGCAGAACTATTGAAAATAGGTTTTAATATCGTAATAAAGACACAGTTGACTCCAAACCTGATTTTTATTCTAAACCAAGCTGGTTATTTTATTCTACTTAAATATACATTTGCATCAGAAGCAGAGGTATTTTAATTTTTAAAGCTGGGAAATCCTGAGTTCCAAGTCAAGCATAGTGCAAAGAGTGAGCATTAAAGTCATCTTTCAGTATTCATCCAGAAGGATCAGGGAATGGAGCTGCTGGTTTGAATCCTCAGTCTTTACTCTTCTTCTCTTTGCTTTGGGACCTGAGGATCTTCTCCACAGCAGCGTAGCTCTGCACCGCGGTGTCGTACACAGATTCTCCGGTGGACTTGGCGATGGCCGCAGCCTGCTCCGGGTAGTACAGCGACGCCCCCAGGGTCATTAAGCCCGCCGGGTACAAGACTTTCTTAATCCTGGATCCTCTGGCGAGAAAAAGCCCAACGACTCCGGCGAAAGCGATAATTCCCGCCCGTGGGTAGAAGTCCTTGGGAGGGTTCTGGAGGTACACGTAGGCTTCGTTCCCGAACCGGACCGCCTTCTGAACTTTGGGTTGAATTACACCGTAAGTTCCTTGGCACCAAGTCGTGTAGGGCTCAGCTAACTTCCTGACGGTGGCGACGGTCTCCTCCAGCTGACCCGCTTCCCGCTCCGCGTGCCGGGGAGTCTGCGGAGGAGGAGGGGAGGTGTAGAGGGAGAGCTCCTCCAGGGTTACCGGGGGAGAAGCTTCTGGCTCTCCCTTAGAGACACCGTTATCCGCGAACACGGTGAACGGCAGGATAGCCCAGGCTCCCGGCATGACTCTACCTGTCACCTTCAACATGATCCCCGAGGGCCATATGTACTGCCTACGGAGTCCGCGGAGGGACAAATTACTGGCGCCGCGTTTCACAGAAAAAAGGAAACACCGCGATAGAAGAGTTATCTAGAAAAAAAAAACATTAAACTTACTTACACTTATATCCGTATTCATCTTTATATATTCTTTATAATCAGACTTTTTTTTTTTAACACGCAAAGTTAATTTGACTAGGTTTGTAGTTTGAATTATGTTGGGAGTTTGTGCAAGATTTATTAAAATGTAATAAAAATTAGGCTTACTTTATTTATTTTTTTCTCAAGAACACAAAATCTTGTCTCGCCTAATGACTATAGCTTTTAGTTTCCCATTATTTTTACACAGAACTTAACTCGGCAGACTCTTGGGCCTATATATATAATATTTAATTTAAAATAAATATAAGAATGGGAGAGGTTTTCAAAAAATAAGTTTAATTATGTTTGAAGTAAGCACATGTTTTTGTGTATAAATATTTAAATACTTTGGTAAACAAAATATCACGTAAGGAACCTTCACAAAAATGACGCCAAACTTGTAAAGAAGAAAATAGCTTAGTGTGCATTCACATATGAAAACACAGGCCCCCCATAATTAAAAAGATTCCAGGACCATTTTGTCCACTTTTATTTAAAATAAGATTTGAAAAACAAGGGGAAAAAACATTGTTACTGAACTCATAAATAAACGTTATACACAAAGTAAATACTTTCAACAAACTTTTCCTGTAAGACTGAAAACTTTTTTTTTTTTGCAGGAAAGTGACTAAATATTGTTTATACTAACTGCACACAGACTAAATAAGCCCACAAACAACCTCACATGCAAAAAAACAATTGGATATTCAAGAGCAGCAAGAAATATGTTAGAATAAACGTTATTGGACCTATCTTTAATCTAAAATTAAAGCTTTTGATAGTTACACTTAAATACATGCGATGACTTTATTCAACAGTAAATTATAATTTTTTCGCGTTATTTTGAAGAATAACCTTTAGAACCAATTTTAAGCATGGCATTCATTTCGTCTTTCTCTTTTCAGGCCAACTTAGTTACCATAGCAGCCAGCCATAAAGTTTCTTCGTCTCCATGGAGACGAAAAAACGTCAACACCAACGATGCAAACTGGAGTTAGCATGCTAACTGGAGATTTTTTTTATTTTTTTGAACGCTACATATAACTTTATTACTAGGCTTTAAGAAGCGTTAGTTAGCAAGCAAATTGTTTGTAGCAGCAGTAGTTTTGAGGCCATTTTCCTCCGTTTTTTATCATTATTATAATTATGGACTGTTTTGGAGTCTCATCTGCCCAAAATTTACAGGCTCTATCTGCGCTGCTCTCTACTCAGCAGGAGGAAGAGGAGGATGAAGATTATGAAGTAAGAATTAATCACAAATAAATAAATATCAAGTATTTATTTAAAGTCATAGGGAAGTCATATTTAAATGT